CACAGCTTTGCACTGTGGAAGTCCTTCTTTTTTAATTGTTCTTAATAAGGACAGATGGAACAGAGAGCAGAGAGACTACTCAGGGGTATGCTAACTTGGTCCATGTGATTGATGCTTTTCAAGTGTATGTTACACATTAAACCGTAGCATTGGGACATGGAAAGTCTGGGAAGATTTCTCTGCTGTGTGTTTGCATAAGCCAGCCTGTGTGTAAGAACACTGATTCTTTTCACTGAGCCTTTCATTCAAAAGCCTGAGCATTTGTGAGTTTGGTTTCCAGTACTGATACTAAACCAGGCCTTGTGGGATGATGCTTTGCAGCAGGGTGAGCCACTTTTCTATGATCTAAGCAGCAAATAGCTTTTGCAAGCATGCCCTTCACTAGTAAATTTTATACAAATCAAATGATTGGTGCCCAGATAGTAGCATTTTCAAAATCTGAACTGCAGTTAATGACCCACAGGACACATTTGTCATTGCAGTTTCCTTGAAAATAGCAGCCATCCAGTAGCTGAAGAGGGCCGACAAAAGCTGGGGAGGGACTGTTTCCAAGGGTGTGTAGCGACAGGACAAGAGGCAATGGTTTTAAACTACACAGGGTAGATTTAGATTAGACATCAGGAAGAAGTTATTTACCCTGAGGGTGGTGAAACACTGGCACAGGTTGCCCAGAGAGGTGGTGGAGGCTCCATCCCTGGATAGGCTTGATGGGATTTTGGAGCAACCTGATGTAGTTAAAGATGTTCCTGCTCACTGAAGGCAGGTTGGAGTAGATGACCTTTGGAGGTGCCTTCCAGCCCAACACATTCTATGATTCTATGAAATTCCAAGAGTGGTGGGATTGCTCTGGGCCTTTGTGACGCTGTTGTCTCTCTTACAGTGTGAAATACATTTCCTGCTCCCTGCTCATCCTTCATGCCGAGGATGACCCAGTGGTACCATTTCATCTGGGAAAGAAGGTACACATGCGACTCTGCAAACTGAGCTGGTGGGAGGAACTGGTGTGATTGGAAAGGCAAAAAGTCAGCAATAGCAAGGTTTTTGTAGAAATGCGTAGCCTGAAGCGTGTTGGAGGTGGCAAATCAATAGTGAAATGGAGCTAGAACTAGCAAATCTGGTCAAGCCAGGGCCCATAACCCACCCCTGTGAGGGGTGCCGGTTTGGCAGGGGTAGCTGGTTTGGAGCGACGCGTGTCCCTCACCTGCCTCCCTTTGAACTCAGCTTTACAACATCGCTGCGACGTCACGGAGTTTCCGAGACTACAAGGTCCAGTTTGTTCCGTTCCACACAGACCTCGGCTACCGGCACAAGTACATCTACAGGAGTCCAGAGCTACCTCGAATACTGCGGTAACAGAGCAGCCAACCAGGGTCTTCTCTAGCTTGGGGTGGGGGGGGTGGGGCTTAGAGATTTGGGGCACACTGCGTGTCCCCTGTATTGGGAAGCTCTTCTGAAAACCCCTTTGGTCTTCAGACTGGATGAGATACTAGAGGTGGCTTAACACAGAGTCAGAGCTCTTTGCAGCTCCCTGCAAAGCAGGTTTTGGGAAGGGGAGCCACAGAAAGCTGGGACCACTTCTCCCTGGCTCATCTCTGCTGATGGCTGAGAGCAAAGCTCAGGGCCGTTCCCCGTAGCTGCAAGTGCTTGGGCTGGAGTATGTGCAGGGGAGCGGGAAGACTTGCAGGCTGCAGCGTGCACCTGAGTGTGGGAGAGCCGAGTGTGACTGCTGTGTCGTTTCCTTTCCTAGGGAATTCCTGGGAAAATCTGAACACGAGCATCATCACTGAATACTGGCTGCTTGGCAGCAAAGAGATTTTCCTTTCTTTCCTTCCTCTCTCTCCTTTTCCTCCCCTCTCCCTGTGGGCCCGTCTGCCATTCTTCCATCCCTGGCACTAGAAAAGGCCAGGGACTCTCGCTCTAATCCTGATGCGTACCCTTGGCAACTTGGCAACTCCAGCTCCCGGCATCAGCGTCTGCGATGGTAGAAGAAAGAAGTTGTTGGCTTCTTTTTTGACATGGATGGAGGGGTGATAACAGCCCAGGAGCCAGTACCAAACCATGAAAAGTGTAAGCACAACAAAGCCTGGCCAATCCAGCGTGGTACCCCTGAGGACAGACATTCCTAGGACGTGTGTCATGACCAAGGGTGTTTCTTTCACTTTTAAACACTGCTGCTGTTTTTGGATCACATAGAGACTCATTTGTAGATGAATGGCTTCTGCTGTGTCTCCATACCACAGTTGTCTTGCTTGAGTTTGAGGTGTTCTATTTCTAGGAAATACGTGTTTTGCCTTTCCTTTTCGCTAAGTGGCTGTAATTACAAATAGAAGGAAGATCCAGGTGGTGAGAAATTTTTATTTAGCTCTTCAGTCGCAATGTGTTGCAAGTGTTGGGCTAATTGCACACATTTGGAAATAAAATGAAAGATCTTTTTTATTTTTTTGTTCCTCCTTTTCAAACATCTATTTAATGGAAAAGGTTAGTGCCCTTTTATCTTTTATGAACGTCATTTCTCCTCCCATCCCTGCTATCCTCTGTGGAGCTCATCCAATACACTTCCTAACAGGACCGAAGGGACTGATTTCTAACTTGGGCATTTAAGCCAGAACAAGTGAGATAACTTAGTTTTGCTTGACCTCCCCCTTCCATGAACAGTGTGGGCCCAGGATGTGGGAATGGATGTCTTCCATTCCCCCCGTACACAGCCAGACAGATGTGTGCTTCCTTTGGGGGGGAACAACAGGGCTTTTTCCTCAACTACCTTTTAGGTCAAGTTTTCCTCTTCCTGGTGGCTACAGCGTTGCTCTGTAGTTACAAGCAGGCAGTGATGTGCAGTTTTCCATGCAGAAATAAGTCTGTGGAGTCCCTCCCCACCTCTTCCTCCACCTCCAGTCTGTGCTCTGGGCATCCCAGTCAACCTCACAGCCACAGTTGGAGCATGTTGTCTGGGAGGCAGAAGTGGAAATGAGCCTCTCCCGTGGGGAGAGGTTCTGGGGATGTCCCTTCCCTGCATGGGGCTAGAACAGGGGCTGTTCTGAGCTCTGTGCTGGGACAGGAGAGGGTCATATGCTGACCTTGCCCCCTGTCAGTCTATATAGGCAATACCAGGTGCTGTAGGTTTAGTCACTAGTGCCCAGCGAATTGTGCTGGCCAAGGGGCCTGTTCAAGGGTGTACAGCATAGTATAAACTGCTCAGCATGCATCCAGGTTTATCTGCAGGCTCACCCTAGTTGCAAAGCAGCCAGTAGCTTGTTTTCGTACTGAGATTCTTCTGCCGTAGTGTGGTTGTCCCCGAGGTTTCTGACCCACGATACTCATAACCTAACTGTGCCACTTAAATTATGTTTGACGCACTTGTATTTATTGCACTGACAGAAGAGAAACACTTACTTGGCTCTGGAGGGTGATGTGCACATTCCAGCTAACGCTGCTACTGGCAGGCGGCTTTGGGGGCCCGG